AGACCCATAGAGACCCATAGACACCCATAGAGACCCATAGAGACCCATAGACACCCATAGAGACCCATAGACACCCATAGAGACCCATAGACACCCACAGAGACCCATAGACACCCATAGATACCCATAGAGACCCATAGACACCCATAGAGACCCATAGAGACCCATAGAGACCCATAGAGACCCACAGAGACCCATAGAGACCCGCAGACATCTACAGAGACTCATAGACACCCATAGAGACCCATAGACACCCATAGAGACCCATAGAGACCCATAGAGACCCATAGAGACCCGCAGACATCTACAGAGACCCATAGACACCCATAGACACCCATAGAGACCCACAGAGACCCATAGACACCCATAGAGACCCATAGACACCCATAGAGACCCATAGAGACCCATAGAGACCCAGAGACACCCATAGAGACCCATAGACACCCATAGAGACCCATAGAGACCCGCAGACATCCACAGAGATCCATAGAGACCCGCAGACATCTACAGAGACTCATAGACACCCATAGAGACCCATAGACACCCATAGAGACCCATAGAGACCCATAGAGACCCAGAGACACCCATAGAGACCCATAGACACCCATAGAGACCCATAGAGACCCATAGAGACCCAGAAACACCCATAGACACCCATAGAGACCCATAGAGACCCGCAGACACCCATAGAGACCCACAGAGACCCATAGACACCCATAGAGACCCATAGAGACCCACAGAGACCCATAGAGACCCATAGAGACCCATAGACACCCATAGACACCCATAGAGACCCATAGACACCCATAGAGACCCATAGAGACCCATAGAGACCCATAGAGACCCACAGAGACCCATAGAGACCCATAGAGACCCATAGAGACCCATAGACACCCATAGAGACCCATAGACACCCATAGAGACCCATAGACACCCACAGAGACCCATAGACACCCATAGAGACCCATAGACACCCATAGACACCCATAGAGACCCATAGACACCCATAGAGACCCATAGAGACCCATAGAGACCCACAGAGACCCATAGAGACCCATAGAGACCCATAGACACCCATAGAGACCCACAGAGACCCACAGAGACCCATAGAGACCCATAGAGACCCATAGAGACCCACAGAGACACCCATAGAGACCCATAGAGACCCATAGACACCCATAGAGACCCATAGACACCCACATAGACCCATAGACACCCATAGAGACCCATAGACACCCATAGACACCCATAGAGACCCATAGACACCCATAGAGACCCATAGAGACCCATAGAGACCCACAGAGACCCATAGAGACCCATAGAGACCCATAGACACCCATAGAGACCCATAGACACCCATAGAGACCCATAGACACCCATAGAGACCCATAGACACCCACAGAGACCGATAGACACCCATAGAGACGCATAGACACCCATAGACACCCATAGAGACCCATAGACACCCATAGAGACCCATAGAGACCCATAGAGACCCATAGAGACCCACAGAGACCCATAGAGACCCATAGACACCCATAGAGACCCACAGAGACCCACAGAGACCCATAGAGACCCATAGAGACCCATAGAGACCCACAGAGACCCATAGACACCCATAGAGACCCATAGACACCCATAGAGACCCATAGAGACCCACAGAGACCCACAGAGACCCATAGACACGCATAGAGACCCGCAGACATCCACAGAGATCCATAGAGACCCACAGAGACCCACAGAGACCCATAGACACCCATAGAGACCCGCAGACATCCACAGAGATCCATAGAGACCTACAGAGACCTACAGAGACTCATAGACACCCATAGAGACCCATAGAGACCCATAGACACCCACAGAGACCCACAGAGACCCATAGAGACCCATAGACACCCATAGACACCCATAGAGACCCACAGAGACCCACAGAGACCCACAGAGACCCATTGAGACCCACAGAGACCCACAGAGACCCACAGAAACCCACAGAGACCCATAGAGACCCATAGAGACCCATAGACACCCACAGAGACCCATAGAGACCCATAGAGACCCATAGACACCCATAGAGACCCACAGAGACCCACAGAGACCCACAGAGACCCATAGAGACCCGCAGACATCCACAGAGATCCATAGAGACCTACAGAGACCTACAGAGACTCATAGACACCCATAGACACCCATAGAGACCCGCAGACACCCACAGAGACCCATAGAGACCCATAGAGACCCATAGACACCCATAGAGACCCATAGAGACCCGCAGACACCCACAGAGACCCATAGAGACCCATAGAGACCCATAGACACCCATAGAGACCCATAGAGACCCGCAGACATCCACAGAGATCCATAGAGACCTACAGAGACCCATAGAGACCCATAGACACCCATAGACACCCATAGACACCCATAGAGATCCATAGAGACCCGCAGACATCCACAGAGGTCCATAGAGACCTACAGAGACCTACAGAGACTCATAGACACCCATAGAGACCCGCAGAGACCCATAAACACCCACATAAACCCAGAGAAACCCACAGACACCCACAGAGACTCACAGAAACCCACAGACACTCACAGAGACCCACAGAAACCCACAGACACTCACAGAGACCTACAGAGACCTACAGAGACCCACAGAGACCTACAGAGACCCACAGAGACCTACAGAGACCCACAGAAACCCACAGACACCCACAGAGACTCACAGAGACCCACAGAGACCCACAGAGACCCACAGAGACCCACAGAGACTTACAGAAACCCACCGACACCCACAGAGACTAACAGACACCCACAGAGACCCAAAGAAATCCACAGACACCCACATAGACCCACAGAGACCCACAGAGACCCACAGAGACCCAAATAAACCCACAGACACCCACAGAGGCCCACAGACAACCACAGAAACCCACAGAGACCCACAGAGACCCACAGACACCCACAGACACCCACAGAGACTAACAGACACCCACAAAGACCCAAAGAAATCCACAGACACCCACATAGACCCACATAGACCCACAGAAACCCACATAGGCCCACAGAGACCCACAGAAACCCACAGAGACCCACAGAAACCCACAGAGACCCACAGACACCCACAGAGACCCACAGACACCCACAGAGACCCACAGAGACCTACAGAGACCCACAGAGACCCACAGAGACCCACAGACACCCACAGACACCCACAGACACCCACATAGACCCAAAGAAATCCACAGACACCCACATAGACCCACAGAGACCCACAGACACTCACAGAGACCCACAGAGGCCCACAGAGGCCCAAGGACTAAACACTGAGGTACCCCCCCTGGTGAGACACTGCTTAACCAATACATACTTCACTTGGAATGGAACTTTCTACAAACAAACTGAGGGCACCCCAATGGGCTCCCCCCTATCTCCCGTTATAGCTAACATTTTCATGGAGAAATTTGAGACTGACGCCATCCAGACTGCCACTCTGCGCCCAACCTTATGGAAGAGGTACGTGGATGACACTTTTGTCATCTGGCCACATGGCCGGCCTGCTCTAGACCAATTCCTCCACCACATCAATTCCATACACCCAGCCATCAGATTTTCCATGGAAGTAGAAATAGATGGCAAGCTACCTTTTTTGGATGTCCTAATTAAAAAGAGACCTGATGGTTCAATGAGCCACTCTGTCTACAGGAAAGCTACCCATACGGATGCTTATCTGAAACCGGATTCCCACCACCATCCATCACGGAAGAATTCGCTCATCAAGACTCTGTATCATAGAGCCCAATGCATATCCGACCAGGAACACATAGGCAGTGAACTCAAGCACGTACACCAAGCTCTTAAGGCTAATGGTTACTCCAACTATACAATCCGCAAAGCTATCACTCAAACCATGAAGAAGGACCCTCTTGAGGAGCCTTTCAAAACCATCACTTTACCCTACATTGCGGGGATCACAAAAAAGATCTCCAAAATCTTGAATAAACACAAGATCCAGGTCCGTTTCAACACATTACATAAAATCCGTGATCTGGTTCCGTCTATAAAAGATGTGATTCCGGACATACATTACCCTGGTGTCTAAAAACTAAGTTGCCTCTGTGGTAGTAGTTACATTGGAGAAACCAAACGCCATGTCTCGGACCGCATTCGTGAACACAAAGCAGACCTTAAACACGGTAGGACCAACACCTCAGCCGTGGCAGATCACTGTTATAATTCAGTAGGCTCACATGACATTGACTTTTCCAAGACAGAGGTTCTTTGTAAGCCATCTGGCTACCATGAGAGATTCGTTCATGAGGCTATCCACATATACAAGCACAGAGACAATTTCAACCGAGAAGATGGATTCTGGCCTAGCAATCATTGGAAAGATTTGATAAACCATTTCAGGTCTTAATTGATTGTTCACGCTTACAGTGGCTTTCAGACAGCATACATTATATATATAAAAAATTCGTCTCCCCCCTCCTCTTTTCAGAACATAGATCGACTAGTCCTTCTAAATAAACTGCTAAATCGCTGCGTGTGGCGCTAACGTTTTATTATAAATAAATAAATGCACCGTTTCAAAATAAATAAATTTATGCAAACCGATACACCTGAAGACGACCGTTTGTGTTATGGTCGAAACGTCGTGAGAATTTTTATTGTTATATATATTTTATTATTTTATTGTTTCCCTTCAACATGGTGACTTTACCGAAATAACTAAGAATATCAAGTGGCTGACGTCATCGCCATCACGTGGAAATTCACAGCATCAGCATCATCATCATCATCGTCATCATCGTCGTCATCATCATCATCGTCGTCATCATCGTCATCATCATCGTGATCTGCGTGCCTCTCCACCACGCTGTGTTTAGGTGCTGGAGGTTTGTGCTGCCAAGCCCCGTGGTGGTGGTGGTGGTGGCGGTGGTGATGGTGGTGGTGGTGGTGGCGGTGGTGGCGGTGGTGATGGTGGTGGTGGTGGTGGCGGTGGTGGTGGTGGCGGTGGTGGTGGTGGTGGTGCCAACCTGGTGGGCAGCCTGCGAGCCGCCCTGCGTGAGCGCTACGGAGGGGGCAGGGCCGCGGTGGGCATGGGTGGCGTCGTGCTCATGGAAGAGGGCAGGGCACGGGTGCACGTCATGGTGAGGGAGCGGACACACACACACAGATAGATAGACACACACATACATACATACACATACACACATATACATACACACACACACAGACACAACAACAACAACAACAACCGCCATTTGCCACTAAGCGGCGGTGACGTCACCACGACGCTTGTGCCAGGCTATGTGCACCCTGAGGCCACGTGAAGTGTCGAACGCCCGCTGGCAGGAGGTCACGGGGCAGACCCAGCAGGTGCCACGGGTCGACTGACTGAGATGACTGAGATGACTGGCTGATGCACCACCTGTGCCCCCTACTGTGCCAATCTGCTGCGCTTTAGCCACCCAGCGTTCCGCTCGTTGTTGTGAGCGTCGCTCCTCCGCCCTCCGTTGTTGTTGGAGGGCGACTGCCTCCAACTGCCCAGTAGCGTCCTTCACGAGCCTCCTCCACAGAGGCCGATCTTGACACCGCTGGTACCAGTCATCGGCAAGTCCACTCAGCTCCACGTCCTCCTGTACCACATAACTCCATCTCTTCTCTAGCCCGTGCCGCGCCCGCTTAGCCCCCTCGATCCGGCCGAACAAAAGCTGCTTCGGCATGCGGTGGCTGGGCATGCGGGCTACATGATCCAGCCAACGCAGCCTTGCCTGCCGGAGGAGCTCACCGATGGGACCTTGCCCAGATCTTTCAAAGATTTGTGAGCTCCTCACACAATCCAGCCTGGTTAAATCCAGGATGAATCGTAGGCAGGCCAGCCTAAATGTTTGTAACCGGCGAAGATGTTCCATTAGGGGGGTCCACGTTTCGCAAGCGTAGAGAAGGGAGGGAATGACCGTGGCCAAGAAGACCTGAAGCTTAGTGCGGAGCGACAGACCAGGTAGCTTCCACACAGCGTTACGCAACCGATGAAAAGATATTGCCGCTCGACTTTAACAGCAGAGTGAGACCTCTGCTGTTAAACTGGAGCCGGTCATAAGCACACTGCCCAGGTATGGGAAACTCTCCACTCTCTCCACAACTGCCCCATCACCGATTGGGAGTTGTGGGGGTGGAGTGTCCGATGGTACAAAATACCCAGGTAGGTGCTTAGTTTTGGTGGGGCTGATGGTAAGGCCCCATTTCTTAGTGGCACGCTCTGGTCTCAGCAGCAGCGTCTCCAACTCCTCCTCTGAATGAGCAGCTATTACCAAATCATCGGCATACATAACATGGTTGAGCAATAGGGAGCCATCCCTTGATTGCACCCGGGCATCAATCAGCCTCCCATTATATCTGTACCATATGGAGATTCCCCCGGTTCAGCTATTGAAGGCTTCACGAACTACGTGGTCAAAATAGATGTTAAATAATGTGGGAGCCAGAGGACATCCCTGTCGCACCCCAACGTGTACAGGGAATGGCTCTGACTCCCAGCCACGTAGTTTTACCCGGGCCTGCTCACCATCATGAAGGTCCTTAATGATTGTGAGCAGAGGGTCAGGTACTCCAAAAGCACGAAGAACAACCCAGAGCCCAGGCCTACTGATGGTATCATAGGCCTTGACCAGGTCAATAAAGCAGCCTACTGATGGTATCATAGGCCTTGACCAGGTCAATAAAGCAGAGATGTAGGTCTTGTTGGAATTCCCTACACCTCTGCTGTAGCAGACGGACAAAAAATATGGCATCTGTGCAGGACCGCCTTTTCCTGAAACCGCATTGGGGCTCCGCAAGCCTCTCCTCAGCGTGCCTGGCAAGGCGATGTTGAATAATCCTTGCCAGGACCTTTCCCGGCACACTGAGGAGTGAGATGCCCCTGTAGTTGTTACAGTCTGTGCGGTCCCCCTTCTTAAAGAGGGGGACCACCAGGGCATCCTTCCAATCCTGCGGAACCCGTCCAGTGGTCCAGAATGTTATTATGATATCATATAGGGCAGTCTGTGCACAAACGCCACCCTCCCTCAGCATTTCGCTTGGGAGATCATCTCTGCCCGGTGCCTTTCCTGGTCTCAGACTCCGGATCGCCTTCAGTACTTCCTCAGCAGATGGGACCTCAGCCAGCCACTCACAGGGGGTGACTCTTCCAATATTTGAGGCACCGCAGCCTCAGCAGGGTCATCCTCACTTTGTGCCACGATGTTTTCCTGGCTGAGGGATTTTTCCTCCCCCGGGACCTCACAGAAATGCTCAGCAAAGCTGCAAACCTGTTCCTGGGGGTCGGATATTGGATCACCGTTTTTTCCCCTAATGATGGTAATAGGTGTGTCGCCTGCAGGTTACTTTTTTGATGGAGTTAAATAGAGATTTGTGATCACGGGCCACTGAGGCAGACTCCATCTCCTCAGCAACCCGCGAGCACCACCCATCCTTGCAGCGCCTCACGGCTCTCCGAACCTCCGAGCGAAGGCTGCGGTAAGCCTCCTCATTCTCTGACGTGGGATTCTGTAGCCGATGACAGTGGGCCTGTCGCTTTTTCTCAACCATCCTGAACACCTCTGTCAGCCAGGGTCTCTGGGGAGGTCTGGACCGCGTACCCAAAGCAGCCATTGCAGCTGCATGAGTCACAGTCCTAAACCTCGCCCATTTACCCTCGACATCAGGAGGTGTGGGGGACGATGCCAACCCCAGCCGCAAGCGATGATGAAATTCTCACTTGCAACTTTCATGAGATTACTGAGACCAGGCCACTTTAGGTTGGAATGGGGTCCTGGGTGTACACCCACCACCGGAGTGGAAGAATGGCAGGCGCATCTTACAGATGACTTGTCAATAGTCAGAGGGCAGATCAGCTCCACGGTAGGTCCTGGTGTCAAGGACATGGGCCTGCATCCGTTGGTCCGTCACTATGTAGTCCAGCAGATGTTCTTGCTTGGACCCGGCATGCATCCATGATGTGTGGATGCGCCGATGCCGGAACAGCGTGTTGGTAATTACAAGCCCATGGGCTGCACACAAATCTAGCAGCCTCCTACCGTTGTTATTGAGCTGATCTGGCCCATGCCCTCCAATCACTCCAGACCAGGTGTCAGCATCATGACCAACTCGGGCATTGAAGTCACCCAACAAGATGACTCTATCCCGAGGGGCCACTTTAGCCAGCACCTGTGACAGGAGGTCATAGAAGGCATCTGACTCATCGGCTTGGCCTGCATCCCTCCACGGATGTTCGTCTTCGGTGGGGGCATAAGTAACCACGACCACCATTCCTCGCCTCCGGTTGATGGGAAGGCGAGCCCAAAGTAGCCTGGGGCTTATAGCTTCCCACACCTCACCGCCACGCTCCCACGCCCCCTTCATTCTTTTGTTCAGAAGAAGAGCCACACCCTGTTGTTTGGCAGTCTGCTGCCCCGAATAGAGGGACTGTCCACCCCTCATGGTGGCAGGAGCCAGAACCGGTCCACCGCACCTCCTGAATGCCACAGAGATCCAGGCGGTACCGGTCCAGCTCCCGACAGAGGAGTGGCAGCCTCTCCTCCGCAGTGAGCGTTCGAACATTCCACGTGGCCATCCGCAGTGAGTGGACACACACACACGACCACTAACTACAACCAATACTACTACTACCACTAAAACCACTACAACCACTACACCAACCACTACAACAACCACTACAACAACCACTACTACTACCACCACTGTAAAATCTCTCTGTGTCTGTGTGTGTGTCTGTGTGTCTCTCTCTGTGTGTCTCTGTATGTGTCTATCTCTCTGTGTCTCTGTGTCTATCTGTGTGTGTGTATCTCTGTGTGTGTCTATCTGCGTGCATCTATCTGTGTGTATCTGTGTGTGTGTCTCTTTGTGTGTCTATCTGTGTGTGTGTCTATCTGTGTGTGTGTCTATCTGTGTGTGTGTCTCTGTGTGTGTGTCTATCTGTGTGTGTGTCTATCTGTGTGTGTGTCTACCTGTGTGTGTCTGTGTGTGTGTCTCTGCGTGTGTCTATCTGTGTGTGTCTATCTGTGTGTGTCTATCTGTGTGTGTGTCTATCTGTGTGTGTCTATCTGTGTGTGTGTCTATCTGTGTGTGTGTCTATCTGTGTGTGTGTCTGTCTGTGTGTGTGTCTATCTGTGTGTGTGTCTATCTGTGTGTGTGTGTCTGTGTGTGTGTGTCTGTGTGTGTGTCTATCTGTGTGTGTGTCTATCTGTGTGTGTCTATCTGTGTGTGTCTCTGTGTGTGTGTCTATCTGTGTCTATCTGTGTGTGTGTCTCTGTGTGTTTGTGTCTATCTATGTGTGTGTCTGTGTGTGTGTCTGTGTGTCTATCTGTGTGTGTGTATCTATCTGTGTCTATCTGTGTGTGTGTCTATCTGTGTGTGTCCGTGTAGCCGGCATTCTCCAGCCGTCCGCTACACACGGACGAGGATGTCCGCTGCTGGTTGAAGTTCTTCTCGGCCAGGGCTCCTCTCATAGGGCAGACGATCTTCCTGTCGCACGACCCTGGGGTGACTCCTCAACTCCACCTCTCACTCCACCACCACTCACTCCACCACTCACTCAACCACCACTCACTCACCCACTCAACCACTCACTCACTCATCCACTCACTCAGCCACTCACTCAGCCACTCACTCAGCCACTCACTCACTCAACCACTTACTCAGCCACTCACTCAACCACTCACTCAACCACCACTCACTCAACCACTCACTCAGCCACCACTCACTCAACCACTCACTCAGCCACTCACTCAGCCACTCACTCAACCACTCACTCAACCACCACTCACTCAACCACTCACTCAGCCACCACTCACTCAACCACTCACTCAGCCACTCACTCAGCCACTCACTCAACCACTCACTCAACCACCACTCACTCAACCACTCACTCAACCACCATTCACTCACTCCACCACTCACTCAACCACCACTCACTCAACCACTCACTCAACCACCACTCACTCACTCCACCACTCACTCAACCACCACTCACTCAACCACTCACTCAACCACCACTCACTCAACCACTCACTCAGCCACTCACTCACTCAGCCACTCACTCAACCATTACTCACTCAACCACTCACTCAACCACCACTCACTCAACCACTCACTCAACCACCACTCACTCCACCACTCACTCAACCACCACTCACTCAACCACTCACTCAACCACTCACTCACTCAACCACTCACTCACCCACTCACTCACTCACCCACTCACTCACCCACTCACTCACCCACCACTCACTCAACCACCACTCACTCAACCACTCACTCAGCCACTCACTCAGCCACTCACTCAACCACCACTCACTCAACCACTCACTCAACCACCACTCACGCACCCACTCACTCAACCACTCACTCCACCACCACTCACTCAACCACTCACTCAACCACCACTCTCGCACCCACTCACTCAACCACTCACTCCACCACCACTCACTCCACCACTCACTCAACACTCCACACCACTCACTCCACCATCACTCCACCATTCACTCCACCACTCACTCAACCACTCACTCAACCACCACTCACTCACCCACTCACTCAACCACTCACTCAACCACCACTCACTCAACCACCACTCACTCAACCACTCACTCCACCACTCACTCAACCACTCACTCAACCACTCACTCAGCCACTCACTCAGCCACTCACTCAGCCACTCACTCAACCACTCACTCCACGACTCACTCCACCACTCACTCCACCACCACTCACTCAACCACTCACTCCACCACTCACTCAACCACTCACTCCACCACTCACTCCACCACTCACTCCACCACTCACTCACTCCACCACTCACTCCACTACTCACTCCACCACCACTCAACCACTCACTCCACCACTCACTCAACCACTCACTCAGCCACTCACTCAACCACTCACTCAACCACTCACTCAACCACCACTCACTCACCCACTCACTCAACCACTCACTCCACCACTCACTCACTCCACCACTCACTCAGCCACTCACTCAACCACCACTCACTCAACCACCACTCATTGCACCATCACTCCACCACTCACTCCACCACCACTCAACCACTCACTCAACCACTCACTCACTCCACCACTCACTCCACCACTCACTCAACCACTCACTCAACCACTCACTCAACCACTCCACCACTCACTCCACCACCACTCAACCACTCACTCACCCACTCACTCACTCCACCACTCACTCCACCACTCCACCACTCACTCCACCACCACTCACTCCACCACTCACTCAACTCCACCACTCACTCCACCACTCACTCAACTCCACCACTCACTCCACCACTCACTCCACCACCACTCACTCCACCACTCACTCCACCACCACTCAACCACTCACTCAACCACCACTCACTCCACCACCACTCACTCCACCATCACTCCACCATTCACTCCACCACTCACTCAACCACTCACTCAACCACCACTCACTCACCCACTCACTCAACCACTCACTCAACCACCACTCACTCAACCACCACTCACTCACCCACTCACTCAACCACTCACTCAACCACCACTCACTCAACCACCACTCACTCAACCACTCACTCCACCACTCACTCAACCACTCACTCAACCACTCACTCAGCCACTCACTCAGCCACTCACTCAGCCACTCACTCAACCACTCACTCCACGACTCACTCCACCACTCACTCCACCACCACTCACTCAACCACTCACTCCACCACTCACTCAACCACTCACTCAACCACTCACTCAACCACTCACTCCACCACTCACTCCACCACTCACTCCACCACTCACTCCACTACTCACTCCACCACCACTCAACCACTCACTCCACCACTCACTCAACCACTCACTCAGCCACTCACTCAACCACTCACTCAACCACTCACTCAACCACCACTCACTCACCCACTCACTCAACCACTCACTCCACCACTCACTCACTCCACCACTCACTCAGCCACTCACTCAACCACCACTCACTCAACCACCACTCATTGCACCATCACTCCACCACTCACTCCACCACTCACTCACTCCACCACTCACTCCACCACCACTCAACCACTCACTCAACCACTCACTCACTCCACCACTCACTCACTCCACCACTCACTCAACCACTCACTCAACCACTCACTCAACCACTCACTCCACCACTCACTCCACCACCACTCAACCACTCACTCACCCACTCACTCACTCCACCACTCACTCCACCACTCCACCACTCACTCCACCACCACTCACTCCACCACTCACTCAACTCCACCACTCACTCCACCACTCACTCAACTCCACCACTCACTCCACCACTCACTCCACCACCACTCACTCCACCACTCACTCCACCACCACTCAACCACTCACTCAACCACCACTCACTCCACCACCACTCACTCCACCATCACTCCACCATTCACTCCACCACTCACTCAACCACTCACTCAACCACCACTCACTCACCCACTCACTCAACCACTCACTCAACCACCACTCACTCAACCACCACTCACTCAACCACTCACTCAACCACTCACTCAGCCACTCACTCAGCCACTCACTCAGCCACTCACTCAGCCACTCACTAAACCACTCACTCCACTACTCACTCAACCACTCACTCCACCACTCACTCAACCACTCACTCCACCACTCACTCCACCACTCACTCCACCACTCACTCACTCCACCACTCACTCCACTACTCACTCCACCACCACTCAACCACTCACTCCACCACTCACTCAACCACTCACTCAGCCACTCACTCAACCACTCACTCAACCACTCACTCAACCACCACTCACTCACCCACTCACTCAACCACTCACTCCACCACTCACTCACTCCACCACTCACTCAGCCACTCACTCAACCACCACTCACTCAACCACCACTCATTGCACCATCACTCCACCACTCACTCCACCACTCACTCCACCACCACTCAACCACTCACTCAACCACTCACTCACTCCACCACTCACTCCACCACTCACTCAACCACTCACTCAACCACTCACTCAACCACTCACTCCACCACTCACTCCACCACCACTCAACCACTCACTCACCCACTCACTCACTCCACCACTCACTCCACCACTCCACCACTCACTCCACCACCACTCACTCCACCACTCACTCAACTCCACCACTCACTCCACCACTCACTCAACTCCACCACTCACTCCACCACTCACTCCACCACCACTCACTCCACCACTCACTCCACCACCACTCAACCACTCACTCAACCACTCACTCACTCACTCACTCCACCACTCACTCCACCACTCACTCAACCACTCACTCAACCACTCACTCTACCACTCACTCCACCACCACTCAACCACCACTCACTCACCCACTCACTCAGCCACGACTCACTCACCCACTCACTCAACCACTCACTCAACCACTCACTCACCCACTCACTCAACCACTCACTCAGCCACTCACTCAACCACTCACTCAACCACTCACTCAACCACCACTCACTCACCCACTCACTCAACCACTCACTCCACCACTCACTCACTCCACCACTCACTCAGCCACTCACTCAACCACCACTCACTCAACCACCACTCATTGCACCATCACTCCACCACTCACTCCACCACTCACTCCACCACCACTCAACCACTCACTCAACCACTCACTCACTCCACCACTCACTCCACCACTCACTCAACCACTCACTCAACCACTCACTCAACCACTCACTCCACCACTCACTCCACCACCACTCAACCACTCACTCACCCACTCACTCACTCCACCACTCACTCCACCACTCCACCACTCACTCCACCACCACTCACTCCACCACTCACTCAACTCCACCACTCACTCCACCACTCACTCAACTCCACCACTCACTCCACCACTCACTCCACCACCACTCACTCCACCACTCACTCCACCACCACTCAACCACTCACTCAACCACTCACTCACTCACTCACTCCACCACTCACTCCACCACTCACTCAACCACTCACTCAACCACTCACTCTACCACTCACTCCACCACCACTCAACCACCACTCACTCACCCACTCACTCAGCCACGACTCACTCACCCACTCACTCAACCACTCACTCAACCACTCACTCACCCACTCACTCAACCACTCACTCAACCACTCACTCAACCACTCACTCACTCCACCACCACTCACTCAACCACTCATTCAACCACCACTCACTCAACTCCAGCACTCACTCCACCACTCCACCACTCACTCCACCACCACTCACTCCACCACTCACTCAACTCCACCACTCACTCCACCACTCACTCAACTCCACCACTCACTCCACCACTCACTCAACTCCACCACTCACTCCACCACCATCACTCCACCACTCACTCCAGCACTCACTCCACCACTCACTCAACCACTCACTCAACCACTCACTCCACCACTCACTCCACCATCACTCCACCACTCACTCCAGCACTCACTCAACCACTCACTCAACCACTCACTCCACCACTCACTCCATCCTCTCTGTGTGTGCCACAGTGCCGGTAGGCCTTCATAGGTGGCGCTACTTGCTAGCTAACAGCACTTGCCCCTGCAGCCCTGCTAGAGGCTACCTGGGGGAGCTTTGTCTGTGTGTCCGTGTGTGTCTGTGTGTGTCTGTGTGTGTATGTGTGTGTGTCTGTGTGTGTGTGTGTGTCTGTGTGTGTATCTGTGTGTGTGTGTCCGTGTGTGTATCTGTGTGTGTGTCTGTGTGTCTGTGTGTGTGTGTCTGTGTGTGTGTGTCTGTGTGTGTGTGTCTGTGTGTGTGTATCTGTGTGTCTGTGTGTGTGTGTATCTGTGTGTGTGTGTCTGTGTGTGTCTGTGTGTGTGTATCTGTGTGTCTGTGTGTGTGTGTGTGTGTCTGTGTGTGTGTGTGTGTCTGTGTGTGTGTGTGTGTGTCTGTGTGTGTGTGTGTGTGTATCTGTGTGTGTGTAGGGCCTGGATCTCCGACTGGAGCACACTCACTGCTACAGCTCCCATGGTGATGGAGGCCACTACCACGGGGATGTCCACGCGTGGCCGATGCGATACCTCGCGTACCTCACACCCGCAGAGCAAATACACCGGGTAGACCGCCCCTTGCACACACACGAAGTGGGCAGGGATTGATACACAGATACACACACAGATACATACACACAGATACACACACAGATACACACACAGATACACCGGGTAGACCGCCCCTTGCACACACACGACGTGGGGAGGGATTGATACACACACAGATACACACACACACAGATACACACAGATACACACACACAGATACACACACAGATACATAGATACACACACACACAGACACACAGATACACACACACACAGATACACACACACACAGATACACACACACACAGATACACACACACACAGATACACAGATACACACAGACACACAGATACACAGATACACACACAGATACACCGGGTAGACCGCCCCTTGCACACACACGAAGTGGGCAGGGATTGATACATACACAGATACACACACACAGATACACACACACAGATAGATAGATACATACACACACAGATACACACACACATACACACACACAGATACACACACACACAGATACACATAGATACACAGATACACACAGATACACAGATACACCGGGTAGACCGCCCCTTGCACACACACGAAGTGGGCAGGGATTGATACATACACAGATACACACACACAGATACACACACACAGATAGATAGATACATACACACACAGATACACACACACATACACACACACAGATACACACACACAGATACACATAGATACACAGATACACACAGATACACAGATACACCGGGTAGACCGCCCCTTGCACACACACGACGTGGGCAGGGATTGATACACAGATACACACACACACAGATACACACAGATACACACACAGATACACACACAGATACACAGATACACACAGATACACAGATACACCGGGTAGACCGCCCCTTGCACACACACGACGTGGGGAGGGATTGATACACAGATACACACACACACAGATACACACAGATACACACACAGATACACACACAGATACACAGATACACACAGATACACAGATACACCGGGTAGACCGCCCCTTGCACACACACGACGTGGGGAGGGATTGATACATACACAGACACACACACAGATACACACACAGATAGATAGATACACACACACAGATACACATAGATACACACGTACACAGATACACCGGGTAGACCGCCCCTTGCACACACACGACGTGGGGAGGGATTGATACACACACAGATACACACACACACAGATACACACAGATACACACACACAGATACACACACAGATACATAGATACACACACACACAGACACACAGATACACACACACACAGATACACACACACACAGATACACAGATACACACAGACACACAGATACACAGATACACACACAGATACACCGGGTAGACCGCCCCTTGCACACACACGACGTGGGCAGGGATTGATACACAGATACACACACACCCAGATACACACAGATACACACACAGATACACAGATACACACACACAGATACACACACACAGATACACACACAGATACATAGATACACACACACAGATACACACACACAGATACATACACAGATACACAGATACACACACACAGATACACACACACAGATACATACACACAGATTCATAGAGATACACAGATACACACAGATACACAGATACACACAGATACACAGATACACACACACAGATACACAGATACACACACACACAGATACACACACAGATACACATACACAGATACACACATACAGATACACAGATACACACACAGATACACACACAGATACACACACAGATACACAGATACACACACACAGATACACACACACACAGATACACAGATACACACACAGATACACACACACAGATATACAGATACACACACACACAGATACACATACACAGATATACACACACAGATACATAGATACACAGATACACATACACAGATACACCGGGTAGACCGCCCCTTGCACACACACGAAGTGGGCAGGGATTGATACACAGATACACAGATACAGATACACACACAGATACACAGATACATACACACACAGATACACAGATACATACACACACAGATACACACACAGATAGATAGATACATACACACACAGATACACACACAGATACACAGATACATACACACAGATACACATATACACACAGATACATACACACAGATATACACACACACACACAGATACACACACAGATACACACACAGATACGCACATACACAGATACACACAGATACACACACAGATACACAGATACATACACAGATACACACACACAGATACACACACAGATAGATAGATACATACACACAGATACACACACAGATACACACACACAGATACACACGTACACAGATACACACACACAGATACACACACAGATAGATAGATACATACACACAGATACACACACAGATACATACACAGATACACACACACAGATACACACACACACAGATAGATAGATACATACACACAGATACACACACAGATACATACACAGATACACACAGATACACACACAGATACACAGATACACACACACAGATACACACATAGATACGCAGATACACACACAGATACACACACAGATATACACACACACACACAGATACACACACACACAGATACACAGATACACACACACAGATACACAGATACACACACAGATACACACACAGATACACAGATATACACACACAGATACATAGATACACAGATACACACACAGATACACACCTAGATACATACACACAGATACACATACATACAATGAATGTGTTGCTATGATTATGAATATTTGATTACAACGATGATGATTGATGGTGATGATGATGGTGGTGATGATGATGGCGGCGGTGATGGTGATGGTGGTGATGGCGGTGATGATGATGGTGGTGATGTTGGTGATGATGATGATGGTGGTAATGATGATGTTGGTGATGATGATGATGTTAGTGATGTTGGTGATGATGATGATGATGTTGGTGATGATGATGATGGTGGTGTTGATGATGATGGTGATGATGATGGTGGTAATGATGTTGGTGGTGATGTTGGTGGTGATGGCGGTGATGATGATGGTGATGATGATGGTCGTGATGATGATGGTGATGTTGGTGATGATGATGGTGGTGATGATGATTATAATGAGCCAGCGATCGTAATTATCATGGATCTATGTTCTCCAATCAGGCTAAATGGGCCTCACGTGCAAATGAAATGCAATTTGAGCAATAAAAGATTAATGCACAGCACCCGGCCGCCTTTGTCTCTCCACTGCTCATATTTACTGTACACACAGACAAAGCTCCCCCAGGTAGCCTCTAGCAGGGCTGTAGGGGCAAGTGCTGCTAGTAGCGAGTAGCACCACCTATGATGCACACACAGACAAAGCTCCACCAGGTAGCCTCTAACAGGGCTGTAGGGGCAAGTGCTGTTAGCTACCACCACCTATGAAGGCTACCGGCACTGTGGCACACACAGAGGGGGTGGGTGGCCAGCACCACCACCACGCCCGGCCGCCTTTGTCTCTCTCCCAGTGCTAGCGATGTTCACTTCACATCGCACCAGGTACTCATTGGAGGCTGAGTCGACCTAAGGGAGGTCCAGGACCGGTTCAGATAATCGCTGTCGGTGGTGGTAGTGGTGGTAGTGGTCGTGATGGTGGTGGTAGTGGTGGTGGTAGTGGTGGTAGTGGTGATGGTGGTAGTGGTGATGGTGGTAGTGGTGGTGGTAGTAGTGGTGATGGTGGTGGTAGTGGTGATGGTGGTAGTGGTGGTGGTAGTAGTGGTGGTGGTAGTAGTGGTGATGGTGGTGGTAGTGGTGATGGTGGTGGTAGTGGTGGTGGTGGTAGTGGTGGTAGTGATGGTGGTGGTAGTGGTAGTATAGTGGTGGTGGTAGTGGTGGTAGTGGTAGTAGTGGTGATGGTGGTGGTAGTGGTGGTGATGGTGGTGGTAGTGGTGATGATGGTAGTGGTGGTGGTAGTGATAGTAGTGGTGATGGTGGTGGTAGTGGTGATGGTGGTAGTGGTGGTGGTAGTAGTGGTGGTGGTAGTGGTGATGGTGGTAGTGGTGGTGGTAGTGGTAGTAGTGGTGATGGTGGTGGTAGTGGTGGTGGTAGTGGTAGTGGTGGTAGTGGTGATGGTAGTAGTGGTGGTAGTGGTGGTAGTAGTGGTGGTAGTGGTGATGGTGGTAGTAGTGGTGGCGATGGTGGTGGTAGTGGTGGTGAAGGTGGTGGTAGTGGTGGTGGTAGTGGTGGTAGTGGTAGTGGTGATGGTAGTGGTGGTGATGGTGGTGGTGTCTAGCAAAACAACCCCCTACCTCCTCGCGGTGCTGGACGGACAAATCTGTCATGGACAGTGCTGTGGGGGGAGGTCCAATTTTGATTGGCTCCTCCCCTTATGGCGTATGTGTCCACCACAGGGGCTAAACGGAGGCTCTGGACGGGTGCGAGGGGCTGGCAACTCCTCCACCTTCAATTAATTACCACTAAACCACGAGCTAAACTGAAATATGTAACTAATAAGCTTGTGCCGGAGGCCCCGGGGGGCCAGGCGTCTATGACGTCTCCTGGCCAAACCCCACTTGGCGGAGCCAGGAGATTGAATATCTACCCTCGGGGCTCCTCCAGAAACAACGAAAAGTCACTACGGGTGGCCACGTGGAATGTTCGAACGCTCACTGCGGACGAGAGGCTGCCACTCCTCTGTCGGGAGCTGGACCGGTACCGCCTGGATCTGTGTGGCATTCAGGAGGTCCGGTGGACCGGCTCTGGCTCCTGCCACCATGAGGAGTGGGCAGTCCTCTACTCGGGGCAGCAGACTGCCAAACAACAGGATGTGACTCTTCTTTTGAACAAAAGAATGAAGGGGGCGTGGGAGCGTGGCGGTGAGGTGTGGGAAGCTGTAAGCCCCAGGCTACTTTGGGCTCGCCTTCCCATCAACCGGAGGCGAGGAATGGTGGTTGTGGTTACTTATGCCCCCACCAAAGATGAACATCCGTGGAGGGATGCAGGCAAAGCCGATGAGTCAGATGCCTTCTATGACCTCCTGTCACAGGTGCTGGCTAAAGTGGCCCCTCGGGATAGAGTCATCATGTTGGGTGACTTCAATGCCCGAGTTGGTCATGATACTGGCACCTGGTCTGGAGTGATTGGAGGGCATGGGCCAGATCAGCTCATTAACAACGGTAGGAGGCTGCTAGATTTTTGTGCAGCCCATGGGCTTGTAATTACCAACACGCTGTTCCGGCATCGGTGCATCCACACAACATCATGGATGCATGCCGGGTCCAAGCAAGAACATCTGCTGGACTACATAGTGACGGACCAGCGGATGCGAGCCCATGTCCTTGACACCAGGACCTACCGTGGAGCTGATCTGCCCTCTGACCATCGACTAGTCATCTGTAAGATGCGCATGCCATTCTTCCACTCCGGTGGTGGGTGTACACCCAGGACCCCATTCCAACCTAAAGTGGCCTGGTCTCAGTTATCTGATGAAAGTTGCAAGCGAGAATTTCATCATCGCTTGCGGCTGGGATTGGCATCGTCCCCGACTCCTCCTGATGTCGAGGGTAAATGGGCGAGGTTTAGGACTGTGACTCATGCAGCTGCAATGGCTGCTTTGGGTACGCGGTCCAGACCTCCCCAGAGACCCTGGCTGACAGAGGAGGTGTTCAGGATGGTTGAGAAAAAGCGACAGGCCCACTGTCATCGGCTACAGAATCCCACGTCAGAGAATGAGGAGGCTTACCGCAGCCTTCGCTCGGAGGTTCGGAGAGCCATGAGGCGCTGCAAGGATGGGTGGTGGTCGCGGGTTGCTGTGCAGATGGAGTCTGCCTCAGTGGCCCGTGATCACAAATCTCTATTCAACTCCATCAAAAATTTAATCTGCAGTGCCACACCTATTACCATCATTAGGGGAAAAAACGGTGACCCAATCTCCGACCCCCAGGAACAGGTTTGCAGATTTGCTGAGCATTTCTGTGAGGTCCTGGGGGAGGGAAAATCCCTCAGCCAGGAAAACATCGTGGCACAAAGTGAGGATGACCCTGCTGAGGCTGCGGTGCCTCAAATATTGGAAGAAGTCACCCACTCTGAGTGGCTGGCTGAGGTGCCATCTGTTGAGGAAGTACTGAAGGCGATCCGGAGTCTGAGACCAGGAAAGGCAGCGGGCAGAGATGATCTCCCAAGCGAAATGCTGAGGGAGGGCGGCGTTTG